AACATATTTCTCTTCAATGGGGATTCTATGGGCTCGGCTAGAGGCTGAATCAAACGAGAAGGTTGAGATGACCCTATCCGCCTCTATGCGGGTTGGGCGAAGGCCGTTGTGGCTCATCTGCATTTTCTTCCCTGGCTCTTGTTCGACGTGAGGCGGCCTCGGGCCCTTCGCGGGCCAGCCTTCGAACCTCGGTCTCCCAATCTAGGATCGGGCAGCTCGAGCCCCCGAGCCCCTCAGGGTCTGATAGGGGTCAGCCGTGTTTCATGCGTCACCCCGTCCTCGGTTTCCGCAACCAAAGGGGCTGAGCTAATGACACTTGCCTTGACGGCTCGAGTGTTGTGCTCAATGAGCTCGCTAACGGGTATGTTCGTGTGGAATCCAGGTCCGTCATCCGCTGATGGGGTTCTCGGGGTCTATGAGGACTTTTTTAGAGCCCTCTGCATTCCCGGGGTCTATGAGGACTTCTTTAGAGCCCTTTGTAGGCTCGAACGACCCGGTTGACTTCTTGGCGTTCGGTGCTTCTTCGGTGACCTCCTCCTTGAAGGCGGTGAGCTCTCCGGAGGTGACAATTGCTGCGGCGTGACCGCAGCACTCGACCTCGCACTCATAGGCATGCTGGAAGGAGGTGCCGACGGTGATGACCCCACCGGGCCCTGGTAGTTTTAGCTTGAGGTATGTATAGTTGGAGATGGGCATGACTTCGCATAGCATGGTCGTCCTAGGATGGCGTGGAAGGTTCTGGGGAACCCAACCACCTCGAAGGTGAGGGTTTCCGTCCTATAATTGAACTAATCCCCAAAGGTAACGAGCAGATTGATCTACCCAAGTGGTATGGCCTGCTTTCCGAGCATGATGTCCTAGAAAGGTGCTCGGGTTGGGCGGAGGCGTGTCCGGTCGATGCCCATTTCATCGAGCGTCTTGGCATACATGATGTTGAGGTCGCTGCCTCCATCCATCAGTACTTTGGTGAGCCGCTTCGGGCTGATGATTGGGTCGACCACGAGCGGGTATCTCCCTGAATACGGGACGCTCTCTGGGTGGTCGGTCCGATCGAAGGTTATGGCGGACTTAGACCATCGGAGGAAGGAGAGTGTGGCCGATTCGGTCATATAGACCTCGTAGCGCGTGACCTTCTGACGACGTTTGGAGTCGTAGGTCACCGATCCTCTAAAGATCATGAGGCAGCCGTTCGGCGTTGGAAAGCCGTCGTCCTTCTCCTCAACGTCGTCCATGGTGGGGGCAGGGTCCTTTTTGTGCTCCCCTTTGTTGGGGCCTCTGGACAAGAACCGTCGCATGAGGCTGCAGTCCTTATGCAGAAGCTTAACTAGGAAGGCATGGTTTGGGCATGGCCCCTCGAGTAATTTTTCGAAGTGGTTCGGAGTGCCCTCCGCGGGCTTCTGACCACCCTTGCGGTCAGCAGTGGCCACGAGCGAGTCCTCACGCGTTGCTTCTTGTTCTTTCTTTTGGCGGAACGATTGGAAGCACCTTCGCCGACACCCTCGTCCCGCCTTGCCTTGCCATCGAGACGATCGAAGATTGCTCCGACCGTCTCTTCTCCTGAGGCGTGGCTGGTGGCGATGTCCAGGAGTTCCTTGGTGGTTCACGGGCCCTTGCGTCCTAGCTTATGAACCAAAGACTCGTAGGTAGTCCCGGACAGGAAAGCCCCTATAACGTCAGCGTAGGCGACGTTAGGTAGCTCGTTGCACTGTCGGGAGAAGCACCGGATGTATCCACGGAGGGTCTCACCGGCCTTCTGACGACAGTTTTTGAGGTCCCATGGGTTCCCAGGGCGCTTGTATATGCCCTGGAAGTTCCCCACAAAGATCTCCTTCAGGTCCGCCCAACTCTGGATTCTGTTGGACGGTAGGTGTTCCAACCACGCTCGTGCCAAATCGGCCAAGAACAATGGAAGGTTGCGGATAATGAAGTCATCATTATCCGTACCACCGGCTTGGTAGGAAAGCCAATAGTCTTCGAGTCATAGTATGGGGTTTGTTTCCCTGAAGTACTTCGGGATGTTGGTTGATGGCCGGTACCTTGGCGGGAAGGTAGCATAGAGGATGTGCCGGGCGAAGGCCTGAGGGCTCGGCAAACCGAGGCTCGGACTCCGGTCCTCATCGCTGTCGTAGCGTCCACCATGACGAGGATAATAGCCGCGGCTGGCTCCCTCTCTTGGATCACCGTGGGTACGCCTGCAAGCATCGAGAGTGCTGCGTGCGTCACGGTTATGGCCGAGACGCTGATGCACCGGGACCGCGACGCGCTGCCTGCCGCCCTGTGGTGCCTGGTGGACCGACGCATCCCTACCGGGACGCCTAGAGAGCGTGCGTTGGCTAGCGTCGAGCTCGCGTCACCGAGACAACGAGCTCTCTGCCTGCTGCGCCGCCGCACGCTCGAGCAGTGTGCGAATCTTGTGGTGGACCCGATGATCCTCGGGTGTTGTGGCCTCTGGAAGGCCATGGAGCAAGGTCATCACGGCGGCGATGTTCTGGCTCGCTCGGGCGAAGCGAGGAAGGGCTTCATCGTCGTCGATGATCCTCCTGTTTACATCGCGGGCCATAGCGCATGCGCGCCCACCATCTCCACGGCGTTCGATCTCACGATTGAGCTCTGCGCATTCCCGCGCAAGCTGGAGTCGTGCTTCCTCGATCTCCCGATGTCGGGCTTTCAGCTGCTCCACCCCCATGCGAGGTGGGGCTGTTGTCTCCCCTTCGGCCTCATCGCCGAGGTTGTCTGCCAGGGTAGCACCCTCCTCGGAGACGCTTTAGACGTGTCCCTCGGGGGTACCCATCATGAAGCATTCCCAGGAGGGGTGATGGCTCCCCTGCTGGAGTCAGAGCTAGAGGATGACCTCGGCTCCTCTACGAGGAGGTTGTGGAGAGATTCCGTGACGTGTTCGATCACCCCTACGAACTCGTTGTTCGCGGGCGGTAGGACCATGCGACGTGCCACAAGGTGGCCAATGGTCGCCGCAGCGTTGCGGAGACTGAACGAAAGCGCTATCGGGGCGCTTCGTGTGTGGTGTTCCGGAGAGAGGGATTCTCCTCCGGTGAACCACGCCATGTCGTTGGCATCGGAAAAGGTGAGGCGGCGCTGGTCCTCCCTGGATGGCTGAGGTCCCAGGGAGACACCGAGCCGGCGCTCAAGCCCCTCGTAGTTGAGGCCGATGGAGGGGAGAGGTTGGATGGCGGCGTGAGCCAACGCCAACCCTCATTCAACTGTGATGATGAAGTCTAGGTTTTCGAAGCGCACGTGTACAACCCTCGGACGTCGGACGAGGGGGAGCCAGCCCTCAGCCGTCGGACGAGGTGGAGCCTGCCCCCAGACGTCGGGCGAGGCGGAGTCCAGCCGTCGGGAGTCGGGCGAGGCGGAGCCAACCCTCAGGGGCCGGGCGAGGCAGAGCCAACCTTCGGTCGTTTGGGCAAGAAGTGTGATTGCGTTCTTGTCTGTTCGGAAGCATCAACGTTTGATGGTTATTAGCTCCACCTCTTTGGGTACCAGTATTTGGTCCCCGACACTTTTCTTACATGTTTTGTTGCTTAAAGAGAAGTTATCTTGTCTCAACAAAAGCAAACCTAGTATTTTAAGGAAAGCCAATAAAGAATTCCACTAATAACAGTCCGTTTTGGTTCTTTTGAATAATTAGATGGACTTTATAGATCATTTTAAGAAGCCTCAGATAACCATAGATCAAATCTATTCTTTAGAAAATAATGAAGATCATTTTAAGAAGCCTCAGATAACCATAGATCAAATCTATTCTTTAGAAAATAATGATACTTCCTAAGAAAAGAAAGTTACACTATATGTGCAGTTACACGTAATTTCAGGGTTGATGTGAGTTTGCTCCCTTGATTGACCTATCCCAATTGTCACATGCTCATTTATTTGCTTTATTACACTACTTAACGAGCCAGCCTTAGCATTTGGTTATGCCCTCCAGAATTAAACGAAGTTTGTATTTTTTAAAAAATTGAGTGACAAACCATTAAATTCGTACGGCAATGACCCAGGAGGTGGAGGCGATATTCGGGCTAACCAATGAACTTTTTTTTGTTGTGCACAACGTTTGACGGTTCGGCTTGTTGTTGTATGGCACAGTTATTTAGGAAAATCACCATATTTGTTTTTGTCCAACATGTAGACAGCTCAAGCGATTTCACCCCTTTTTTCTGTCAGATAATACTATTGTAATACAAAGTAGGGAATATTATATAGAGGAAAAGGGTGAGGACCAGGAAGATAAATGGACAAGGAGAAAAAGTTAGATCAAATCTAGCCAACCAATCCCCGATATCCACAGCCTCTTTCTCCATTGGACCAGAACTGTCCCAACAAAAACCAGAAGGCAAGAGCACAACACCAAACAAAAAAAAAACGTAGCCAAATTGCACATCGGGGACCGACAGTATGTTCGTTTCTTGGTTTTAGCGAGAGTTTATCAGCTTTGATATAATATTTTTCTCTCTTAACATATTAGTATCAGTCGGGCTTATCAGTCTAAAACCAACCAGAGAACATACTGTACAGCTCGTGCGCCCACTCCACCACTGTTCCTGGGAATCTTTGGAAGGAAGAAAGCAGTGGGTCTTATGGTGTGTTTGGTTGAGTCGTGGCTGTAAAAAAAAGCTGGTGTGGGTTGTGAGCTGTGGGATAGTTGCTATGAGCTGTAGAAAAGCTAAAAACTGTTTAATTAAACAAGTATAAAATATACCTTTTATCTTTATCTCTCTTGAAATAACTATGAAAGAGTTTTTTATTGTACCAATTTCAAAAAACAGAAAACCAAATAACAAAAGCAGTATCTTTCTAAAATATACTAGGGAAACAAAAAAAAAAGCTCCTTCTAGAAAAACAGCCTTTTGTTGGGCTTTTGGCCCCAACCAAACGGACCCTGCTCACCACTCATTCCTGGCTTCATGGCTTCCTGACGTCCTCTCCTCCTGATCCAAGAACGCCGGGGGTTCTTGGAACGAAAGTTCTGGGATTGGTCGGCCATCATGTCGGCCTCGTCCTCGTCCCTGTGCGGCGGGGACCCGACGATGAGGAGCGTGGTGTGGTTCCGGAGGGACCTCAGGGTGGAGGACAATCCGGCGCTTGCGGCGGCGGCGCGTGCCGGTGGGGAGGTAGTGCCGGCGTACGTTTGGTCGCCAGAGGAAGAGGGCCCTTACTACCCCGGGCGTGTGTCCCGGTGGTGGATCAGCCAGAGCCTGAAGCACCTGGACGCCTCGCTCCGCCGCCTAGGGGCAGGAAAGCTCGTCACACGGAGGTCGGCCGACGCCGTCGTCGCGCTGCTCCAGCTGGTCCGCGACACCGGCGCCACGCACGTCTACTTCAATCATCTATACGGTTTGTTCCACGTTCCACCCAGTAGTGGCACATGTCTGTCTGAGCTCAGCTTTTTCTAAAAAAAAAAGTTCTTTTTATGTTGTTAGTTCTTTTTATATTGTTATTATTACTCAGCGGCTGTATCCAGGATTCCCCTCCTTGGTGTGTTGTTCATGCTTCAAGATTAATTCTTGAAATTGGCTTCACTAGATAAAACAAATCAATTGCAATTTTATTTTCTTTTTGTTTCACTATTCATCTGATTTGTTCCATGTCGAGCAGATCTTTATATTATTGAGGTAGTGCTTGATATAGTACTATTCGTAACTCCACATGTCAACTGCTTCCCAGTTGAGCAAGAACCCTGGTCTCAAGTCTTGAGTCTTGACAAACCTCCACTTGTCAACTGAGTAAAATCCCAGCATTTCGCCATCTCCTTCTTAATTCACAAAAGTTCTTTGCTTCCCTAGTTCCCTAACCATCCCAATGGGGTACGTCAAATTCCACATATAGTAGTACTGTAGTACTTTAGTTTTCACTCCATTGTTTGCTTGTCCTGGTACTAAGAGAACATGCTTTAGGCCTTTGAGACTATCTCATATTAGATCTTACTCAATCACTGTGTCACCATCTTTTCAGACCCGATCTCACTAGTCAGGGATCACCGGTTGAAGGAGATGCTGACGGCTGAGGGCATCGTTGTGCAATCTTTCAATGCGGATCTGCTGTATGAGCCATGGGAAGTTGTCGATGATGAAGGGCAACCATTCACCATGTTCGCCGCGTTCTGGAACAGGTGCCTCAGCATGCCGTATGACCCCCCTGCACCACTTCTGCCCCCGAAGAAGATCAATTCAGGTGCTTGGAGAACTATGAGTTTAAATTTTCTAGCTTCTACTTGTTCCGATGCATCATGCATTGTATATTTTGCAAGAAGAGTACACGCAACTAAAGAAGATTACACACAATTAAAATGCTGAGTTATCTGTGTTTGTCTTCTGCAAACAATGTAGCATAACTTATCCTTGTCCAATTACTACTAGTCATTTAGCTCTGCAGCTGGTTGATGAATTAGCCATAGTATCATAAGCATTGTGCTTGTGCTACAAGTTGATGTTGAATTAGCTCTTGAGTTGATTGGCTGAAATTTTGAACAGGTGACTTATCGATGTGTCCATCGGAAGATCTGATCTTTGAGGATGATTCAGAGAGGGGAAGCAACGCTCTTCTGGCCCGAGCATGGACGCCAGGGTGGCAGAACGCAGACAAGGCACTGACGGCCTTCCTCAATGGTCCATTGGCTGACTACTCAGTGAACCGCAAGAAGGCTGATAGTGCGAGCACATCCCTACTCTCACCTCACCTGCATTTTGGTGAGCTTAGTGTGCGCAAAGTTTTCCACCTAGTTCGTATGAAGCAGCTTGTGTGGAGTAACGAGGGCAACCATGCTGCTGAGGAGAGCTGCACCTTGTTTCTCCGTTCCATTGGCCTGCGGGAGTACTCTCGGTACCTGAGCTTCAATCACCCAAGCAGCCATGAGAGGCCCCTCTTGGCGCACCTCAGGTTTTTCCCCTGGGTGGTCAATGAGAGCTACTTTAAGATTTGGAGGCAGGGAAGGACTGGGTACCCGCTCGTTGATGCTGGCATGAGGGAACTGTGGGCGACAGGATGGTTGCATGACCGGATACGTGTGGTGGTTTCAAGCTTCTTTGTCAAGGTCCTTCAACTTCCATGGCGATGGGGTATGAAGTACTTCTGGGACACATTACTGGATGCTGATCTTGAAAGCGATGCACTGGGCTGGCAGTACATCACTGGCTCTCTTCCTGATAGTCGAGAGCTTGACCGCATCGACAACCCCCAGGTGCGTGCAGCTTTTAATTTCTGAATAAATCAGGCCACTTAGTAATGATAAATAATACTGAATACTGATGCATTGTCATGGCAATCAATTCTTCGATGCCAGTTTGAAGGCTACAAGTTCGACCCGCATGGGGAGTATGTCCGACGGTGGATTCCTGAGCTCGCAAGGCTACCGACAGAATGGATACATCATCCATGGGATGCACCTGTTTCCGTGCTGCAAGCTGCAGGAATTGAGCTGGGATCCAACTATCCTCTCCCCATAGTTGAGCTAGACGCGGCCAAAGCCAGACTGCAAGAAGCCCTATCAGAAATGTGGCAGCTGGAGGCAGCATCAAGGGCCACCATGAACAATGGAATGGAGGAAGGCCTCGGCGATTCCTCAGAGGTTCCGTTTCCTCAAGAATTACAGATGGAAATCGATCGGCAGCCAGCCCAGGCAACAGCCAATGTGCCGATGACTGCTCGGAGGCGTGAGGATCAGATGGTGCCTACCATGACCTCTTCATTGAACCGAGCTGAAACAGAGGTTTCCGCCGATCTAGGGAACAGTGAGGACACTAGGGCACAGGTTCCGTTTCATGCACATTTCCATCCCCGAGTTGAGAGGGAAGACATGATCCAAAATACTGAAGGCCCTGTGCCTAGAATCAATGGCACTCACCAGCACAACATCTTTCAGCAACCTCAGAATCATAGGCGAGAAGCTCTTGCTCCATCAGTGTCGGAGGCTTCAAGTAGCTGGACCGGCAGAGAGGGCGCTGTGGTCCCAGTTTGGTCACCTCCTGCAGCATCAGGCCATTCAGAAACTTTTGCTGCTGATGAAGCTGACGTTTCTAGTAGGAGTTATTTGGATAGGCATCCACAGTCGCACCGGCTGATGAACTGGAGTCAATTATCACAGTCATTGTGAGTTCGGATGCACGGTAACTCATTTGTTCTCACTAAGTTGCATTGTTGTTGCACTAGCATTGCAATTTGCAGCTTATCATGATAGCACGCATGATTAGTATATTACTTAACCTCAATAAAGTGTCTAAAAGATGATGATTTCTACTCGGTGCAGAAGGCTATAACAATTTAAATAAACCAGGGACATGATCAGTGTGGGGTCTCCTATTTTGGTGGGGGTGGGGGGGGGGGGTGTAATTCATTAATACTGGTATATTTTTGGAAGGGAAAAACTGGTATATGCTTATGTAAATTTATCAAGGCAACGTATCAGGTGTAAACCAACCAACCTATGCAAACTTGGAAACTACCAATCAGGACCACTAGATGCTGATCCAATGGATGGGGTGAGAGGTGGGATTTTTTTGCGCTTAAGCCCCCCACCCGCCGGTCCTTTTTTTGCGCTTAAGCCCATCCATTGAATCAGCATCTAGTGGTCTCAAAGGCCTAAAGTAGCTGAAATGGCATCTAATATTTGATGAAACTTGATCTGCAGGACAACAGGCTGGGAAGTGGAAAATTCTGTGCAGCCAAACTTAATCGGTTAGGGTTTTCTGAAGATGGAATTCATATGTAGATTGTCCACTCAACTGCTCATCTATAGTCTGATGGGATGGAAACCAGGCAGCTTTTCCTGGTGGTGATTATAGTTGTGTAAATCTCATCTTCTAGGACGTGTGTGATCGATATAGTGTGGTTGGCTTTAAAAAGTCACTATTATTGATCAGACAACAAAGGTTTTGCGTATTTTTAGCCCTTTTTTTTTAGGTATGTGATGTATGTTACTGTACATTCCCTTGTGTTTCTCAGTTAACCATTGTTAGTTTCATTCTTGCGTCTTGTATAGTTGTATTACTGTTTTATGTTTTGCCGCAGTTGTGGGGTAACTTGCTCCGCGGCTCCGCCCTGGGGATCTGGAACTCTACTATGGCCTCAACCAGCGTCTAGTTCATTTTGAGAGGAGGAAAAACAAAACAGCTCATCATTACAGTGCACGGAGAAGCTGGAGCCGTCTATCAAACATAGATCTCAGATGTATTGTTGGTTTTGGCTAGGACCACTGCCAGACCACAGCTTGCAGGCACCAGGCAGAGGATTGACTAGGGCCCTGTATCCGACCATAGGCTCCTTAGCAGAGGTTGGAGGGCTGCCATGGCCTCTCACGAAAAAGAGTGCATGCTTTGCAGTCCTACTCGTCTTGACAACGTTTAAATTGTTCGCGAGATCTTTTGTCGTACGATCCTTGGAAAGATATCTTGGCGGTTGTTGGAAGATCGCGACACGGCATGATCGTCATATCATGATTACTTGAACACATCAACTTGATTGTGGCAAAGCCTTGTTATATGGAAAGGCGCAAGAAACGAAAGCGGGATGATTGAAGGGGAAAGAAAGAAAGAAAGAAAGAAAGAAAGAAACTTCCAATGAACGAGTTTGTTAACCTTAATTATTATAGTACTATTGAACAAGGAAACGTCATCGTCTCCGTAGCACTGTATCAACTGTGATTAACCATGTGTTACTGTTAGCGGTGTGACGAATGAGCCGAGGACGAGCTGGCCTGGCCTCACCTGAGCCTTGAGATGCATGCCTGCCCCATTGGCGGAACGGAGAGGCCAGCCAGACGGCACTGGCTAGCTGACCGCACCCCATCAGGCCATCACAGCGATTGTGAGCGCTCAGAGCTGCCGCCACGTGATGCTCTACCGCTGCCCTCTCCTGCCGTTGTCAGCGTTCGTGAAGATATGCAGCGGCAGGCAATCAACAGTGGGCGCGAATGCTACAGCTCGTCTTGGCTGGTCGCACTCGCTACAGAGGACGTGATGCTATGGACTACAGACAGGTGCATCTATCACTGCCGACTATCGAGACCGCCGGCCTGCGTTGAGCCGTTGATCATGATTCATGTGGCGCAACATATGAAACTTCCTGCAGGTGGCTCTGCTGCAAACCGCGCGACGCGGCCGCCGACGGGCGACTGGGAAACGGGGCGCGCTCAGCTTTGCCAGCACGAGTATTGAGAAGAGAACCACAAAATCAAAACACAGAAACACTGGTACCTGGCATCACTCACACCTCACTCGACTTTTTAGCACATTGACGACAAATGCAAGCTATTAAAGACTTTCACAGGAGCAGCTCCTCTGGCTTGACACAGAAAATACAGTTACATGAATCAACTGCACGATAAACTGAAAAAAGGAAATCAAACATGCTACATGCCACACGATTCCAGCACGTACATGGATCAGAACTGGTAAATGCGCAAAGTTATGAACTAGAATTGATGTACAGTGTGCCCAATAGTAAAGTCCCACTCTTTAACAAATGTTAGCCCTGAGAACAAACTGGTCAGGCGAACTTAAAAATTACACCTTATTTCATCGTTGGGAGCTAGATTCCATTATCCCCTGTACACTGAAACCACCCAAAATCTGGTGTCCTCACCTCATACAACCTCTTCAATTCCATGGAAGTAATGAAATAGTAGCTGTGTAGGTACAAGAGTGAACTTGCAAGCCCCAAAGAGAAAAAGGAGAAAAGGAACAGGGAAGGTGAATAAACCGATCTAACTCTTCCCACCAAGCCCCTCGTAAAACAAGATATACCCATGGTCTGTGTTGCCTGAGTATTCATGTGAGGAACCGAAGAATGTTTGTAGGGTCTGCTCTTCAACCATCTCGACGTTTTCGTCGTCGAAGAACAACCAGTGGTTGTGACTTTTGACAAGGCTTACATAATGCCCATGGTTGGGGCCACTTCCGACATGGATCACGACAGCAAAGAGGGAGTACTCAGTGTCTACATCGTCAGATGTATTACTGAGCTTCAGTTCCATGGGGAATACAACCCGGTATGAAAGCTTCTTATACCGGCCAAGCTGCTCAATGTACTTGAAACGCTTTAGATGGATCACCAATATGTGGGGAGCCTTCTTGATCTTCATTCTCTTCTGTGCTTCTTGCAAACTGGAATGCGACCAAATAATGGAGTTCAGCAGTAACAAAGGACTAAAGTGAAGATGATGGTCCCCTCCATAAGGTAGGGGCAGCATGATATTTTTCAAAATCTATACAACATAGATTGGGTCCAACAACGGTACGAGGGAACCAAGATTACTCAGGGGTCAGGGCTTTATGCTGTCGCAGAGATCTACCAAAACAAAGTGCCCCCCCAAGTAGGATGACAATGACCAGTAAAAATTGGCATAATTCTAAAGCAAAGAATGCTGATGATGATGACAAATAAATACAACCCAAGGGAAACATGGTATAGTTACCTGCAGCACTTGTCGCAGAAGAATTTATCCTCTGCATTTAAAGTCTCTGTAGAACATAAATTTTTCAGGCAGCTTGTGATAAAACTGTTTTGTTCAATGTCAACACTAAGATCAAGAAATGTTTCATCCCTTGCAGTTACTGTTTCACATCTTAAGCATCTTGTTTCGTTGGTCAATATGCCCTGCAAAGTTTGTATGCATGTAAAGATGATGGTAACTTGAATCTAGAAGATAAAACACAATGCACTTTTCAATTAGTTCAGTCACCTGGAAATTTTTATGGACCAGAGTAACTGGCGGTTCTTTTTTAACTCCATTGGCTAAAGGTTGAACTGGGCCATTTGGAGCTTTTTCAGGAGATGATGATTGGGGCGAGTCCTTAGCAGCACTTGACTCTTTTTCCAGAATATCAACAAGTTCATTCAAAAGGAAATTTAAGAACTCGTGTGCATCCTACAAAGAACCATGGAGACATATTTTAGTCAAGAGAAGTGGCTGTTTTGGAGCTACCATAAAAACTAATTCATTCCTGAAATGACTGCTTTTGAAGATACCATAATAATTAAAACATTTCTACAACAGCAGAAAAATGTGGGCACATCGCACATGAGAACACATACAGCACTACACTACAATAACTCATATCCATACTTAAAGCTAAAGTAAATATTGCTATACAGTTTGTTACTGTGTCAATCCAACACAGTGAGACTAGCATACTACAGCAGATCAGATGAAATACATTGCTATGACATGGTGCAAATTACCTGGTGCATGTAGCTGCGAAACAACTCATTCTGTTTCTTCACTCTCTGAACAAAACGTTTTGGAGCAATAACACCGGTCTTTTTCTTTGCTTGGCTTATCTACATGATACACAATGAGCAACTCTTAATTCACCTCTTCATTCTTTATGGTGGCAAATTGCAATATCATGCAGATTGCAGAAGTTTCACGTGAGATACAAAAGACTATGCACTAACACTGATACACAAGGATGAAGTGAAACAAAGCATTGACAACAAAGATGTCAAGTCAAAGAACTTTACCATACAAATTTAAATGACATCAGGATCATATTATATGCAATGTTAACAAGTCATCAAACTAATCGTGATTAGTCGGCTGATCGGTGCCATAGCAATCAGTTATGCACTATGATTAGTCACGATTAGTCGGGCTGATTGGTGCCATGGCGACTAGGAATCTATGATCGATTAGACGATTGGATAACATTGATTATATGTCAGGTAATTAACAGTAGAACAGCACCCATTACCTTAAGAAAGTTGTCCAACAACCAATTGCAAAGCAGGAGGCAGCACAATAAATATTTTATAGCCACTGGCACAGAGCTCACATTAAGTACAACTTAGCATGAGATTCATTATTCAAATGACAAGTGGTGATGTTATCCGAGCATGCCACATGTGCATGCATGATGCATCCATGAGTGGGTATGTTGCACGAAATTCAGCAGATGCATATAATATATGTAGCGATAGGCCTATAGCAAAATCAACACTAACAGGAGGTTTCAACTCTTACGATAAACAACTAAAAAAGATGATTTAGCAGAATATAGATTTTCAGTTTATATGAGTATTATACTATTATCTCACTTTAAGTAGGAAGCAAAACTAATTGACCAACACCTAAATATATTAAACAGCATAAGGAACATGGAGTGCCAAGCAAAGAACTACATATCCATGAATGGACCCCTATTGACAGTGTTATCCAAAGAAAGCTATACATATACAGCTTGGATACTGCACATGTTAGAACTTCAATGCAGCTAACAAAAGTAAGCAAGCAGGAATGCAGCATATATCCTATCAGGAAAGGGCCAAATAATTGGAGATTTTGAAACTCTTAATATGCTAAAGCCAAAAAGGTATCTGCCAATAACAAGAATTAATAAGCTCACATAAATATATATAGAAAATGAGAAGGATTTACTTCATTTACAGTGCCAAGCGGGTAAACTCTACATAACTATCATCACCTCAGAGCAAGACAAAATATACATTCTTTGTACACTTGTACCTCGTGAAACCCAGATATAGCACTACAGCTGTCAACTATGGAATCATCCTTTCAACCTCTAGTCTAAGTGATACCCAAAAGTCAAATTTTACCAAGAAAATTATGACACTCTATGCTCATTTTACAAAGTAATAACATTCTAGAGTCATTTATATCATTTGGTATAATCCTATCTACATGTTACCTGCATAAAAAGGTCGGCCAAACAAGTCAAAAGATTTTCCTCAGCGTCACCTGGAGTTTTGTTATTTGCATAATATTCCAGTAACTGCTCCCTGAATGGAATGCAAAAATAAAGTGCCTGAAACAAGAGTATCAGTGTCAGATTTATGTTAAAAATGCATGTGACAGAAATTATAGCATATTAAATACAATATTTTGCACTGAGCTAGCATATGAGAAGTAGAAAGTATTGACCATTAGACAAAGTTATGTTACACTGATCTACTTGGTCTTGGATCATCTAAAGACAGCAACTGCAAATTGCAATACACATTAAACATCATCTCTTAGTTTTTACGTTGAACACACAACAGAATGGTGCTGGCGCAGCGGGAGAATTTGAGAAAGTGCACACAGCAAATGGGAAAACAACAGGATTGGTTGCTATTGGCTTTCTTTATGTAGTGAACAAATAATGAATGCTGGTAACTCGGAAGCAAACATCTTATCCAATGGTGCTAACTCCATGGCAATAATTTGTTAGTTATCACAAGCCTAGCTAATTGTTGCAATGTACTGTTAAACTACAGAAGAACGAAACTTAAAACTTAATTGGTTCGTTGATTTCACTGCTAGCTCCAGACAGCTAGCAATTTGCTAAAATTTATCCAATTAAAAGACAACAGGAAACCGACTAACTCAAGGATATCTCATACTACTTCCATGCAAATTATCAATGGCAACAACAAAGCCTTTTAGTAACAAGCAAGTTGGGGTAGGCTACATGCAAATTATCAACATAAAAAAAAACTTTCACCAAAGACAAATTGGTGTATGTTCAGGAACCGAAGCAAAGAATGCAAATATTCTAAAGTGGACAAAGACAGTGAACTGTAGATAGCTGCCTACCTCAGCACCTAATACTTATATTAAGAAAGAAAAATTGCTCTCATACAACAAAATACTCCTTCCTACTGGATTCTATTTTACCACTACTTACTTTCACCTTTTGCTCCATCATACCACATTCCTATATATAGGATTGAAGATCGACAGGACAGAATAGATCCAAAATCCAATCAACACTGCCTTCATCTCTCCCCGCCTTTCCCAACACTTCTCCTGCATGGAGCATTTATCCTTCTCGCCCCAAGCCAGTGTCACACCTCATCCCAACACCAATGCCTCCCAACCAGATCCATGCCTCCTGCAGCCGCCACTGCCAAATCTGGCCATCCCCAACAAAGCCACCGCCCCATACAGTGGAAGGGTGGAAGCTTGAACCAGTAGCGGAGCCAAAAGCCTTTAAGAGCCCGGGCGATCCTCATTATGCAAAATTATTTAGCTAGTAAATTATAGTATTCTTCTTTGATATAAAGAAATTTTTCTTTTGAACTTCGCCGACGAGCCCGGCCGGCGGCCCAGGGTGGCCGGGCGGTGGCTCCGCCACTGGCTTGAACCAGCAGCCGCAGCATGGCCTTCACGATGTGCTGTACACATGACTCCTTGGAGACACTTGAATTGATGAGTTGCTGTGGTGCGGCACAGCGGCAGTAGCGAGGAGTGGCAAAAGGTGTGGGGAAGAAGCTGGGGTGGTACCAGCGGAAGGGCATGGTATTCCCCATGGTATCAAGGCCTGCAGGGGTGGGTTCAGGAGGGCAAGAATGACCAGAGAGAAGGAAGACGATGCGAGAGGGATGGGTGAAAAGGGAGGTGGTCTAATGCTAAAGTAGTAATCCAGATATGGGAAGTGGTATGTTTGCAAAACAGTTCTGTGAGTGGAATATAGGCAATTTGGCCACTAAGAAAAGGAAACCCTGTGAATTACTGGCTACCTAATATGCTATAAGAAAATGTAGACAGGTTTTCAAAACAAAGTTTTGATTAAATGAGCTGACATATTAAAACCTAGCATGACAACCTGGTGCAAATGGTTTGGGTTCATGCACAAGGAGATCTAGACCAAAGGTACATTAAATAATCAAGGCAAGTGAATCACGGTAAGTAAGTCTTCCCAGAGTGACAGTTTTTCAACTAAGAAACAGACAAGGTTCAAAAAAACGCTAGGCGCTAGGCGGGCGCTAGGCCACTACCTAGCGCCTAATCGCGCTTAAACGTTTATGTTTTAGTAACACAATAGCTATGTATATGGAGATGCGGCTGCATATATGAAGAATAAATGAGAAATAAAGAGTGATGTCTATAAAGCCCACTCAGCCCATTGTCTTAGGAAAGCCAACAGCCCATCTAAGCACCATATGTGCTACCAGTGCCCTAACAGCCAGCACCATTCCACCAATTCCCACCCAGCCGCTGCCGGTTCTCAGGTCTTGCGCAGCAGCTTCCCGCTCCCTGCGCGGCCGCGCCCCCATCCCCATGTGCTCCCGTGCCCCCTCCCTGTCCCTGTCCGATCTCTGCTCCGGCGCGCCACCTCCGCTCTGCTTGTGGGCAACCTCGTCTCCTTCTGCTCCCCCTTCGTGGTGCGCCCCTCCACCTCGTCTCCTTCTACTCCACCTTCGCTCCGCGCTCTTTTTCCCTACCCCATGAGGGCCCCCGCCCGCGCGATTCTTTCCCGCACTTCCCTATGTCCACATGCGCTCGTTTCCGACTTTCCGCCGGCGCCTGGGCCGCTTTTTCTGCACGGAGATCGCACGCGTTTTTGCCGGCGCCTGGGCCTAGCGCTTTTTTCACCGCACAGGCCCTCAACAACGCGCAGGGTCACCGTTTAGCGCATAATCACGATTAAATATCCATGTAATCACGTTTTATTTCAAACCTTGGAAACAGATACATGCAAGCATTATCTAGACACCGCTAATTGCCAAGCAGTCTTTGCATGAAGATTCTAAATCTGTCAAAAAACGCGGGAGACATAAACACCTCTTGTTAAATATTTCAGTTACATGCCACAACCAGATTAAAATTTTCAAACCTATGGATTCTAGAGCTATCATATAAATGGGTCGTCCTGAGATGCAAGAGGATTGCGCTTACATCCCAGCTACATGTACTGTGCTACTGGTTGTCGTCTGTAAGCATGCTACAATGGCAAGTGTTGAAAATGATGGATATCTATGCGTTTGTAACTTCTTATATACTTCATCGGAATATGAAGCTAATAATGATGGTACAGGGCTAGCATAACCAAAAATTCATATGTCAGGCAACTCAGAACAGTTTGGACTCACATTACCAAAGGACTTTTCATATCAGCACATATGTTACAGTAGCACAATACTGAATGCATTGAGCAACTACTATACAAACAGTTTTGATTGATTTTGTCAAAGGATTTTAAACATATCAGCAGACACATCACACTACAACAGCATATCTCGAATCTGGCGAGCAAGTGCTCCAGCATAATATCTAGCATATACACACCTACCACTTAAACAAATAAATAAAGGCACCAATCAGGCCGTTTCACCACACTACCGTGCTTACCAGTATCAAGCCTAGCATAACCAAGCATCAAATCTACTAGCTGTTGGCATGTCTCCATACCTGAAGGACACTGTTGCAGTAGCAGGTGTTGCCGAAGTTCTCAAGGCCGAAGTAGCGCTCGCCTTCCGGGAACTGGTCACCGAGGGCCTTCTCAAGCTTGGAGCCGCTGGCTCCCATGACCATCCACCGGTCCCACCACCCAGAGGCGGCGCCGGCGAGGTACCGGAACCCTGACCCGAGCCCTGAGCGGCTCCTCTCGGCAGCCGACGAGGCCTCCACCGTGGGCGATCGCACCGGATTTGCCGTCCTAGGGTTTGGTGGCTCGCCGCGCACGCGCGCGGCGGAGGGAGGGGGAGGGATAGGAAGTGGCGGGAGGCCGATGCGAAACACTAGGGGTTTCGATCCGAGTGGGCGAGCGCGGCGAAAGGTACGAGGATTGAGGAAGGAATCGCTGCTGCTGATGCTTCTTCTGCTTCTGCTGCTAGCACTGGCGCTGCTGCTCCTTCCGTTGGGGATTTCTCGCCTTTTTCGCAGGCGATGAAACGGGAGGACTCGCTTGATTTAGATCGGCCTCGCCTTGGTGGTTCTTGCTGTTTGCCTGTTTCTGTGGTGTGGTGGGACCCGGACCTATCTGTATTTCTTTACTCTCTTTCTACCGCACATCAGCGCCCGTTAGCTGGGTTTATAAGCTATATTTTTTCAGCTAATAAATAATATTTTTCTCTCATATCAAATTAGTTAATAGTATTTTTAATCAGTCATAGCTTATTAGCCAAGTGCACAAGGCTCGTAGCGGTTTTGTGGCTGCTGTGGACTCTGGTCTACGAATTCATTGTCACGGTACTACTCCTCCCTCTATCCCTTAGTAAGGTCTGATTGGATATAAGGGTTAATTACTAGATAGCTAAAAATTAATTTAAATTATTAGTTTTAATACATCTAAATAGAAAAGACTACTAGATTGATTAATTTTTTAGACAAGTCTTCAACTAATTGTTAGTCAATTAGTTATCCAACCATATCTAATTTAGATTAATTTTTAGTTGGCTATCGAATCATAGCTAATTTGGACTAATTTTTAGCTCAACATAACTAGCATGTGTATTCAAATATGTCCTAAATGTGGTTCTCACCTTCCAAGAAATTAAATGTACTTAACTTTAATCAAATATATATATAAAGTATTAGTATTAGAGTATAGATAGATCATGAAATCTATTTATAATAAAGTTATTTAGAAATATAAATGATTCTAATATTTTTTATAAATCTAACAAATTTTTTAAAAAATTACCAGCCCAAATACCATAATGACATTTTAAAAGGATCCGAAAAAAGTACATCATAACAAGAGGTTTGATGTCTGGCTGTTACCAAATGCGGCTAACTAGCATCTTGGATAGTCTTTTTTAAAAACTCACATTTTAAACGTATATTTTTTTATTTTATGGTCCAAATTTTAGTTAGCCAAAATTAAAGACTAAAATTTTAGACCATTTTAGTCACTTGAGTGGTCTAAAGTGTTTTTAAGGTTGGCTAAACTTTAGACAACACTCTAGATCTATTGTTAGAGTCTCAAGAGTTAAAGTTGTCTAAAATTTAGTCATCAGATTCAATACGAGGTCTAAGTCATCACTAGGAGAGCCATTTGAAAAAAAAAACGCTCTTGATATCTTTCTGTCATCCAATAGCTTCTCTATATCTTGTATGCATTCTAGAAAATCAACCACATGCTCTATCTTTGTCCAGCAAGAAATCTAAAATAGATGATGTTTATATTTAGAGATCTAATTACAGTAGTGTTTGATTTTTTTTTTGCTAAAAACTAGGGAAGGATATAAAATGACTTTTGAAGTTACTCTTAGTTTCGACATCCTCATTTTTCTTTTTTTAAAGAGTTAAATATTTTTAAATTTGACCATATATATAATAGATTATTAATATTATGATGTATAATATGTATTATATTATTAAACTAACCATTGAATATATTTTATAAAAAACTTATTTGAAGATACAAACAATACTAATATTTTCTACTAATTAGTCAATAAAAAAAATGATCAGACAAAATCCTAGACGATTTTTTTTTGGAAAATGGAGGGAGTACGCCTTTATGACAAATCATGCATCCAACTCTTAAGTTCGGCAAGAGAATGGAGTTTGGAAAGAACACAACAAACGTCTACCACGTCAAATTTAGTAAGAAATAGGAGATGGCTAGCAAACAGTTCTGAATAAAATGTAGCTTTACGGTTACAGCGAGACGTGTTTTGGTTGGTGGATAAGTCTTTACTAGTAAGCCTAGGCACGAAAAATCAAGAACCATGAACCGAACCTAACCGGAACCGAAACCAGAGTAACCGAAACCGAAATATTCGGTCCTATGTTCCTAGGAACCGAAATTATTACGGTTAATTCGGTTCCAGCACTCGGATAACCGAATTGACCTGAAATAACTGAATTAAGCTGTTAGACCTCTTGTTTTTTTACTGTAGGCTTGAATATTGCTATATGCTTGAATATTTGAGAGAACAATAATATATATGTGTTGTACTATTGTTTTATGCTGTATTGCTGTTTAAATTGTCCCTTTTAACTGCATGAAAATCAGACAAAATGCTGCCAAAATTTGCAATTGAATGTGTTGTTTCGTGGTTCTTGAAAAAATCGGTTCCATCGGTTAGAACCGAAACCGAACCGAATTATCGAAACCGGAATTCCTCGGTTCCGCATTTTCAAAGTAATCGATCGGTCCCTTCTTTCCATGTAATCAAATTAGCTAAAGAACCGAACCGATCAGTTTCGGTTAACCGAACGCCCAGACTGATTTACTAGCACGACTGGGCGTGCTGACGAAGCGTTGTGATGAACAGTAAAAAATTAAAATTCGGCTGGGCAGTGTGAAAGCTCTAGTTTGATTTTGGTGAATTGATGAAACCCTAAGTACTAACCTAGTTTATCAAGTGATCATGATATAGGTAGCACACTCCAAGTGATGAAGCAAATGAAGATCATAACATGATGATGATGATGCCATGGTGATGATCAAGTGCTCGAACTTAGAAAGAAGAAGAATAAAAATAAAAGGCTCAAGGTAAATGTATAAATTGTAGAAGCCATTTTGTTTTGCTGATCAAGACACTTAGTGAGTGTGATCACATTTAGGATCGATAGCCGTACTATTAAGAGGGGTGAAACTCGTATCGGAATGTTGTTATTAAAATGCCACTAGATGCTCTAACTCATTGCATATGTATTTAGGATCTAGTGGAATGCTAACACCCTTGAAAATGTTTGTGAAAATATGCTAACATATGTGTACAAGGTGATATACTTGGTGGTTGGCACATTTGATCAAGGGTGGTGAAGTTTGGGTGCAAGGGTAAGAAACTCCACCGGTGGAGTGTCCGCCCATAGAGTGCGGACAGTCCGACGGTGCCACCGGCGCCCTAGACAGAAAAGACGGAGGTCACTGTAAGTGACCGGACGCTAGTCTCGGATGGACTGGCGCATCCGGTCAGTGGCAGCAGAGGGCGTGCGTTTCAGTCTCATGACCGGACGCTGGGTCGCTCAGCGACCGGACACTGGCGGGGTGCGTCCGGTCAGTGCTGACGTACGCTGACGTAGGGCGTACAGAGGAGACGTTGTGTGACCAGACACTGGCTGTGTCCGATCAAGCATGACTGGACGCGTCCGGTCGGAAAAAATCGCGTTTGGAACCTTACTGGAAACGACCGGACGCTAAGGTCCAGCGTCCGGTCAGCAGACGACCGTTGAAATCTGACGAACAGTATTTGAAGCAGGGGACACGTGGCGTGAATCACGTGACCGGACACTGAGGGCCAGCGTCCGGTCGATCGGACCGGAGCGTTCGGTCACCCCGCGTTGTGCCCAATGAAGGGGTACAACGGCTCTATTTCGTGGGGGCTTCTATTTAAGCCCCATGGCCGGCTCAAGCTCACTCTATTGGCCATTTTGCATTGGCATGGCAACCTTGTGAGCTTAGCTAAAGCCCTCATACTTTTTTTCATCATTGATTCATCATCTTTGTGAGATTGAGAGAGAATTCAAGTGCATTGCTTGAGTGTTTGTATCTAGAGGCACTTGGTGTTCGTATTTCGCTGTGGGATTCGCTTGTTACTCTTGGTGGTTGCCGCCACCTAGACGGCTTGGAGCAGCGAGGATCGTCGAGCAGAGGGTGGTGATTGTCTCCAGCTCCGATCATTTTGATTGTGAGGGGTTCTTGACCTTTCCCCATCGGAGCGCCAAAAGGTATTCTAGTGGATTGCTCGTGGCTTGTGTGATCCTCATCTTGTGTTGGTTGTGCGGCACCCTATTGAGGGTTTGGCGTGTGAAGCCAATTAGCGCGTGAACCTTCAAGTGAGTGAATCGCCACAACGAGGACTAGCTTGCTGGCAAGCAAGTGAACCTCGGTAAAAAATCATTGTGTTCATCATTGATTCCGAGGTGATTGGTCTTTATTGTTATTCATCCTTGTGATTGATTGGTTCCTTCATCTACACGGCGGTATAACTTTTTTGATCACTCTCTTTATATTACCGCAAACTAGTTGTCAAGCTCTTTAGTGTAGTTAGTTGTGAGAGCTTGCTTGTTTGGTTGGTGTGGCTCTTTAGTTAGCCTTTGAGAGCATACTAACATAGAGTAGTGTCATAGCTATTGTATGAATAGATTCTATCTAAACTAGAATTGTGGTAGGTGGCTTGCATTTTGAGTAGGCTAGCGCAACACTTGCTTCGCCTCATAATTGTCTAACCCTTTTGTTAAGTGTTGTTGTAGAAATTTTTATTAGGCTATTCACCCCCCTCTAGCCATTAGGACCTTTCAAGTGGTATCAAAACCGAGGTCACCGTGATTTGAGGCTTAACAACCTTCGGTGTAAAAATGACTCAAATCAATAATACTAAGAAGCCACCACAATTTGATGGCATAAATTATTCTTATTGGAAGTCAAAGATGACTACACATATCAAGTCAATCAATAGAAAGGTGTGGAAGGTGGTAGAAACTAAAATTAAGATTGAAGATCCGGAGAATCCCACCGCGGCCAAAGAAGTGCTTCTCCAAAACAATGATATTGCCCTAAGTGTCATTCATGATGCAATTGATGAGAGAACATTTGAGTAAATCAAGAATATTTAGATGGCTCCTAAGGCTTGGAA